ATCATACTAGGTCAAGAGATTATAAATCAAGGTTTCCTGAGAGACTGAAACGGTCAGGATCTTGCTACTACTATCTACGTTCTCCGTCCTTACCTCTGATCATTCTTCCTCGATCTTTCGTAACTTGCACTTGCATGTACCGGATTGCCAACTATAGTGATACACGTAAAACCATAGCCCCTCTCATCCCAGATTCGCCCTAGTTCAATGCTAAACTTGGTTTGCAATGAAACTCGGCTATTTGGGATACTGTTTACGCATGACAGATATTCACGTTTGCGTCAGTTCGGTTCTCGCTTTGCAAATCAGATACAGTACACCTCTCTTCCGTAAACACAATGGCAAATTTATTACACTGACTTTACGGGTCAATTACAAAGTCTGCATACAACGATATCGGTCACCAATCCGCACTAAACTTAAGTGCATTGAAGCTATTCTCCAAGTGACTTCAGCACGCATATATACACATCACTCGCTAGGGTTTACAGTATCCTACGCATGATATAGTTCCATTCGTTTCTTGTTCATCAGGAAAGTAGGTCTGAGCTAGAAAACCCTCATGAGATGGGTTAAGGCAATTGAAACAGTTGAGACGAACCTGCCACCACAGAAGGCCCTCCAGTCTTTATGAGTGCTCAACTAAGCTTATCTTCTCTCGGCTAGCTGTCTCAACCATTTCGAATTGCACTAGTTGAGCACTCATCAGGGCTAGGGAGCTTTATATGGTGGCAGGTTCGTCTCAACTACCCCAACTGCCTCGACCAGACTTTCTAACACTCGCCTATTTTCCGGATGCTTTTATCTTTGCTCTATGCGACGCACACCAAGCTTATATCAACAACGCCTATTAGCCCCTACTGCGAGACATCCAAGTCGTATATGTGTCTATAATGTCCTCAAGGTTTGAGGTTGGTTATTCCCGCGATTGGAACAGTTAGGATCTCCTTGGAAAACATCGAAGCAAGGAATACTTTAAGCTGTATTTATTCATATTGCTTCCGAAATATTTCCGACATTAAGATTTGTACTTATAAACATCTGCATCGCATGGAACAGCCAAATATTGTAGCTTGACAGTCCAATAGATCATATGTAGCTAGTGTTGTGGTGCTCCCCAATCACGTTTTTGGGTCGAATCAGGTTAAAAAAGATCGACGCGGTCTGGCCGACTTAAATATCTATAACAAAGAGTGAGTTTGAGTTAAAGTTCCAACAGACCTCGATTGGCGGCCTTAGGTCTGACTTCGACGAATTTATGAATCCGGCGAGTCCTATTTCCAATTCACTCACCCAATAGCCACAACCATAGCGTCCAACCCACACATTATGTCTGTTTCAGAGGGATCAACCAATAACCAGGCCCCTGCCCCTAGTCCTCATGTTGAAACATATACTCGTGACTCAAAGTATTATTACCACGATGGCAATACGGTGTTTCTTGTTGGAGGGTCGCTGTTCAAGGTATGTCACAAGTGATGGGGCACCTTCGTTGTGAGTACAGTACTAAATTCCACCAAGTTTCAAGCAACCATTCTTGCTCCCAATGAATCAACAAAACCCTACGAGTTTGAACCTCTCATGAGAGACCTATTGGACCCTCAAAACGCGACCACGTCAGATACAAAGGGATCAAGTAACTCAAATCCCCTCACAATCCCCAATGTCGAGGCAAAACAATTCCACGATCTTCTTCTTGCTGTCTTAGGCAGGTAAGTGGGCGTCTTCTACTACCAACTACACAGCGCGAATGATCTCTACACATTTACAGACCAGGAGAAGCCGAGTACATGTCTCTTATCACGGACGCTCGACAAACGCGTAGCCACACCCAGGATATGTTCCTACGCTACTCGGACATTGGAGATCTAGCGGCGCGGTTCGGAATCACCGACCTTGCAAACTGGGCATGGTCGCAGCTTGAACTATTGCTTACATCATCCGACCGTCTCGCCAAATGCAAATGGGGCAGCGCCACTATCTTGAAACTACTGCCACATATTAACGACATGCACAAGAACAAGTCATCATTATGGGCCGGACTACCCATTTTCATATTATTGGCTCTCAGCCAGCCTACCAGAAATCCTCGCCTTTCTGCAACGGAACCTATGCTAGACACTGATGTATGTGTGCAGTTATACCGGCACTTGGCCCTCGTTGCGACACCGGCGGGCCGAGCGGTATTTGGCTATTCCTTCATTTTCGTCCTATCCTTGGGTCACCGTTCATCTGTCTGGGTCGATCAGCTTACTTGGCAGGATCGTGCGAAGCTCTATGCGGCTCAAGTCCATATGACTCGTCTCCACCAAATTCAGGAGCTGAACATTGGATGGCTGAAGGAACCTCAGTTGCCCGAGAAAGTTTGCGCCACCTGTCGATTGCGGTTTGGCACCATCTGGGAGGCTAGCTTTGCTCAGTGCGGGCCTCTAGACTCCGCAGTACCACTCGAAGACGTTTCCAAACTTTTGCACTTACCTCAGTACTATCAACAGTTTTTTCAACCTATCCGATCTGGAGCTTGGGTTTGCGAACGAAAATGCGAAGAAGCAATCTTGGCCAACATCGGCCTAGCTATGTTGAATATGTTTGCCAACTTAGCTGAACATCACAAACACATCGTAGCGTGAGTTTGTTTCGTCGCTACCTCACAAATGACCAATCTGATTTAAATCTACAACCACAGTAATGCTTGAGATCACACTCTAAGCGAAATTCCCGCCCCCTTCCCTAATATTACAAAATTTGTTGATCTGTACCCATACGAGCTATCCGGGTAATTTTCCTTAAATTTACTTGACCTCTCAGCATCCCATCACCATGCCCAGTATTATCTCATGTTTATGATTGGATTTACTTTCTGTATTTGTCGATGTCAAACGTGCATGTCCGGTACCAGTTTATTGTTTTTGATTTGTTCTCCCAGGCAATACACCAATTCCTTCTCGACTCTATGCTGAGGTTGAGAGGTTGTACTCAAATTTATTACTCAAAGCGATACCCCGCATACATGTAAATCATCACCAAAGCTTCACGACCTCCTGTGCTGTGTACGGCTCCTCAAGTTTCTTGATATCATCTTCGCTCAATGTAATGTGCACCGCACCTAAACCACAAAATCTTATCAACTCCTAGCACAAAACATTGCATACAAGCTGCATACGCACCTGCAATGTCTTCAAGGTTTTTCAGATTGGTCGTTCCGACGATCGGGGCGGAGACAAAGTCCTTGGACAGCATCCAGGCGAGGGATACCTGAGCCATGCTTACGCCCTTTGCTTTTGCGACTTCCTCGACGCTGCATCCAGGGCGGTTAGATCGTGGACAAGTAGGAGGCGAGTTTGAACATACCGGCTGATGATTTGGCTCTCTGTGTCCGAATATTTGGTCAAGAGTTTAATGAATCTGGGCAGGGTTTTAGTGCTTCAATCCCAACATCCCGTAGTGTGTTGCCTTACTTGTCGTTCCCCTCTCGTGCCGTGTTGTTGGCCAGCGGTCGGGCCAAACGACCGCTTGCAAGCGGCGCCCAGGGGATGGAACCCACTCCAAAGTGCTACATAGGTCCGAGTCATTTCTATAGTGAAGCTCGCTCGGGATTAAAAACACTCACATTAAGCGTCGGCATCATCTCCCGTTCCTCCTCCCTATACAGCAAGCTATAGCAGTTTTGCATCGAGATGAACGGCGTGAGCTTGTTCGCAATCGCGTAGTTCTGCATCGCGTGGAATTGCCAAGCGGCGCAGCTCGACATCCCGATGTACCGCACGTAACCAGCTTGGACAATGTCATGAAGAGCGTGCATGGTCTCTTCAATCGGCGTACTTGGGTCGAAGCGGTGGCATTGGAGGAGGTCGACATAGTCGAGCTGAAGACGCTCGAGGGAGTGTTTGATGGACTCGAATATATGCTAGCGTATTGGATTCTGATCAGCACATATAATGAAAATAATGGGTTGGGAATATTTACCTTTCTGCTGAGTCCGTATTGGTTCACGTAGCCATGATTGTTCAAGACTTCCTCGGGCGCCATTGGGGGTACGCCATCGTCGTAAGACCTCCTTACGACGCCTCGTACCTATAACCATTACAGTTTATTCGCTACTCGATCGAGGAGTGGGGTGTAGAAAATACCTTCGTCATAACTACGATCTCGTCCCGAGGCAGGTTCAGCTGCTTGATCGCCTTCCCGAGGATAACCTCAGACTGTCCGTTGGAGTAGACGTTTGCAGTATCAAAAGTCTGGATCCCTAACTCGTAGCTGAACGCGAAGGGTGGTGTTAGGAAATGGAGATTCTAGTAATACAGAAACAGGTACGAACGCGGCTTTGACGTGTGCGATACCCTCCTCCTCGCCGAGAAGCCACCCTTGCCAGCGCGGGTCGCCGTAACTCATCATCCCAAGGATGATCTGAGAAATCTTCAGTCCAGAGTTACCCAGACGCACTGGGGAAAAGAAGAGCTTAGTGAACGCCCGAACAGCTCTCGATGAACACTCACCATATTTCATCTTTTTGATTTCGGTTGTTGAGGCCATGTTAAAACAGAATACTTAGATTTCGGCTTTCAACAGGTGTTCAAGGCTTGAGGTATGAGACAGCATGTTGAGCGTCCAAGACGCTTTATAGCTCGACGCCTCATAGCTATTTGATTAAATGCGCAATGTGGTGGTGGTACTCTTTTTGGACAAATACGCCGAGCCGGCGGGGTGGAGGTGGAAGAACGAAGGTAGGTCACAAAGTAGGACCCCATAAAGTGCTGTGACTGGAGGTGGAGGCTGGGTGAGTGTGTGGAGGGGCCTATGATATGAAGAGCGGAGGTTGCAAAGTGGAGGGCAGGGGACGCAAGGTGGAGGGCGGAGGATGCAATAGGGATCAAATGGTGGAAGCTATGCGTTCAGTACGCGGGTAATTGAAACCTCAAAAAACAAACCCGGGAAGTGATCATGTTCAGGCAGGGGGATCAGGGGGCGAACAATCGAGAGAAAAACAAAACGAAACAAAATGGACAAGTCCGGAATTGAACCGGAGACCTCCTCAACTCAGATGACTGCAAATGAGGCGCGATAACCCCTACACTACATGCCCTTGCTTCAGTGACCCAATTATCAATTACAGTATAATCCGTGTGGGAGCTTAGAATGTTTCAGCCAATCACTACGGCGCATTGTTCGTCAGAATCCCTCAAGTTCTACCCCGCTGATCTATTGGGTTCTTTGCTCAGCGATTGTATGTTGCCACGGAATCATCAATTCTGCTCCTCGCTGTAACCACGGCTAATGCCCACTCTTCCTTCATGCTTCTCGTCCTAAAGGACAGAACACTCCAATACGGATTCACGGGCTCCGCTGTTGCCCCCGTATGTATAGAATCTTACCGATACGGTACTTAAAATAGTCTAGTCTGAGTTTAGAGCACAACGAGGCGAACATATACCCCACTCGATGGAATCACCAAAGATGTACAATAAGCTGTGGTCAAATATAGTATGTTGCGGAAAACAGGATGCCAGGTCGCCCATCCATCCCTTCCCGGGCCGCCATGGGTAGAGTCGTGAGAGGTTGTTAGGTCTCAGGCCAGACTTCTCCTTAGGCAGCGACCACATGATGCCCGCCAGAAATCCCGGTGAGGTTCGGGAAGGAGGTCTGATAACAAGTATCTCAGTGGGGCCTACGGTGCTATGATGCGGTTCGGGGGACTGGTTGTGCTGTTGTTCATTTGGACTGACCTCTGAAAGACTCGGGGTCGCGCCAGAAATGAACCTTAATGAGCCAGGAACAAACCCGGACCTGGGGTATTAGGCTTTTACAAATGAAGTGTGACGCAGTGAGCAATATAGATATCCGAAAGGGGGAAAATGTATGGTATTATCGGGGAGCCACGTCGACGGTAGACGCCCTACGGTGAAATGGCAATAACAAGGAATAACACCAAGTGAGCACATGGCCCAGAGCATCGTCCGAAAGAACGACCACACTGAGCATCGGTGCCACGTCGACGACTCGAACCAGGGCGAGGAGCAAACTCGCATGTGCGTCGGTGCATCCATACCTGGACCGTGGGACGTCACTTCTGCTACAGCTAAGCTAGCAACCGACGCTTCTCCACGCTAATTTCCACCCAGCCTCGTATTATTATACTTGCTCTGCGGCCACATGGACCCCGTCTCTTCTCCCCCTCCGGGCCCTTTGACGGACTCTGACCTACCCCCCTCAAGCCCTCGCACGATATACGTCATGTCTCGCTCACACATGTCCACGACCGTAGCCGCGAGCTGTTTCGTTGCTCTTATTGCCCTCGCACTCACCGTTGTCTGGCGTCGAAGGCAACGCTGGAGACGGACTCGTCCATGGCTCGCCAAGCTGCGCGCGGAAGCTGCCAGCAAAATTGAGAAAGAAAAGTCGACTCTGGGAGACGGCGCACATAGGGACGACCCCTTACGATCTACAACTAAAGATATTACGAAGGATACACCCAAGGACACGCTAAACGAGACGGACAGGAGCAAGCGAAAGGAGAAGGAAAGGCTCGCGGCCGACGCTCGAAGCGACGGGGGCTCTGCGTCGGGCAAACGTAGCAAGGAACGGCGGCGGCGCGGTAAAGACATCAAGCAACCGTCTCGCATGGTCTCTGGCACCGCCTTGTCTCAAATGGCTAACAATGCGCTCGATGCCTCTACCCCTACCTCCAACTCTACTCTCAAACTTTCTGTTCATGAACCCAAGCCCGACCAAGCCCAAGTTCAAGCCCAGTCTCAAACTATATCTCCCCCACCTTCACCCTACTTCATTCCCCTCCCGCCTTCACCTCAACTAAACGCATCGGACATTACGCCCTCGGGCAAATTCATCCCACCAGCCCTCGTACTCTCAGGGCCAGCATCCCCACTATCCACATCCATGAGCATACCCACGACCGAAATCACCGCCACTACGCCTACGACTTCTACTTCCGTCTCCCCTACTCCTGCATCTCCCATGCCCCACGGGCATGACAACGCTGCACGTAAACTCCCAGCTTTTCCCCCTGCGTCGCCTCTTCCTCCTAGTTTAGCGCGCAAACCGCTCCCTCTTGCACGCCGAGCAACACCCTCGGTGCCTGCTACGTCACCGGCCATGCCTAATTCGAAGGACGCCAATACGCCGGAACGCAAAGACTCTCACGCGGCTGGCCGGAAGAGCACGGGATACGAGAGTGATGGAGGTGTACCCGAGATCGAGTTTCCTACGCTGAGTCCCTGGCCGGTTGTTGGGAAACGTGTGGGCGAGGGAGAGGGGAAGCGAAGGGATAAAGATGGGAGGAGGGTGAGCGATGCCGGCAGGGATGGCCGGAAGATAAGCGATGCTGGCCGAGGACGGAAAGCGAGCGACGCGAGGAAGAAGGTTGGAGGGGGGAATAATGGAGGTGGTGCGCCTGGAGGAGCGGGGACGAACCCCGAGTCGACGCAGCTTGCATCGTTGAGGGGTGCGTTGGAGGCTGCTCGGTTGAGGGAGGAGGAGGTCGCTGAGGAGAGAAAGCGGTGGGCTAAGCGCGAGCGTGAGGTGAGTTTGGTTGCCGAGCCGCTCTTTGCCGGCCTTGTAGTTGGTTGGACAATATTGATTTCTGTGGTAGCTCCAAACGCAAGTGGATCAACTCGCGCATCAGTTGCACGCACTCGCTATCTCGTTCTCGACAGGAGGGATGCATGGATACCCGCCATATGGATATGCGTACGGTGTGCCATCCGCAATGGGACAACCAGGACCTGCCATGACTCCAGGTGCTCAACCCCAAGCACCTCCACCCACACACTCCACCTCCGAACCGTCCCTTCCCTCCAGTCAACCATCTCCAGCACCCACGCCACCCCCAGGCTCACCTCCATCCACGAGCCAAGCACCCAACCTACCCCAGCCTAACCAATCTCAACCCCCATATCCGATGTACCTCCCCTTCCCCTTCCCGATGCACATGCCGTCACCACACAGTTCGCCTATGCCCAGCTCCTCTACGCCTATGAGTTTCCCGCCGCATGTTCCCCTGCCTCCGCCATCATCCATGATGTCCCCTCCACCTCAGCCAATGATGTCTCCTCCCCAGCCGCACGGAAGTATGTCTCCGCCCCAACCGTCGCCGTACATGGTTGCTCCGCATCCATGGGGCATACATATGGGCATGGGCATGGCACACCGGGGTGGGAGCCCGATGAGTCCGGGTGGAATGATGGGTACCCCAGGGCCAGGCGGGATGATGGGCGGACCAGCACCGGGGATGATGATGCAGCACCCCGTGCCTGGGCGTCGGCACAGTGGTTTCTTTAGCGGGTCCCCTAGGCGTGGCGGGTCGAGGAGCAACAGCCGCTCTCCATACGTTCAGGCTTGGGCAGATGGCCGACGGGGAGGGACACCTAGCACGCCTAGTGTCGGAAGCGTAGACGACGGCCTTGTCAGTGGACTGCGAGGCGGATGGGAAGGAGGGTATACGGCAGGTGTAAAACGCGAAAGGGAGTATGACGAGCCTGAAGGCGGGGCGGGGAGCGAGAGCGATGAAAGCGATGAAGATGAAGATTCGGACGAGGATTCAGTCATTTTCGAAGATGGCTCCGTTAGCGACTCGTTAAATCTCTCTCTACGCGGGGATAGTAAAGACTCTGAAATACCTGTCGAGATTCAGATCGGGGAAGATTTGCGGGTGAGCGAGATTATGAGCTAAAGTGGACATTTTTGCTTTTCTTCGTGTTTTTGCTTTCGTTTCGTGTTTTGTTTTATTCTTCATGTGTCGATTCCCCAAGTGCTCAGCGGAGGCGCTATATATCTATTCTATTATGTGTCTCTTGTTTTGCGCGTCTGTGCTGTGCTCTTTGGACTCGATTCGGATTTACGATTTTTGTTTCGGAAAATGATGTACTTAGACGCGGCTGATTAATAGTTTGCATGAAGTGGCTCGTTGCCGCAGAGTCAACAATGGATAGAACTTAGTTACTCTGCGAATGCTCGTCCACGCATACCTGATTGAGTTCCATCCTGCACTGCTGAGATCCCGAGATGAGATATGACACCGCCGAGCGCATCGCTTTCGGTCGTCAAGCGCGTTGGATGAAAGAATGCGGCTGTCCCATGGGCATGGATAAAACGATGGAGATTACATATTGCCGTTGTGCCTTTCTCATTCCCATTATCGCATACCCAACTGTATCCTGCGGACCTCATCATGAAAGACACCGAACCCAGAGGCCAAGCTGAAATGACCCCTCTCCGTAATTTTAATAATCTCGGCTCTCGCACGGCGTGCTCACACGTATCTTGACGTTCAGTGCTTGGGGACGAAGGAAAAGAAAATCAAAGCGATAGACATAGTGTAAGTACTCACAAAGTAGACATACCGTCCGTCAGAGCCTGATGTCCGCCTCAGTGGTACTATTTTTGTGACGACCCGACGCTATGTCCTAGAGACATGGATTCGTGCTGTGAATTGATTGTACGCACTCTATGCCTTTCATTGACGTTGACGTCGATGCCTCGTTAGTAATTTGTGCACCTTTGGGCTTTGGGCCTTTGTCTTGCGTTGTATTGTAGAACCAGTTATGCTCCAAGCGACCGCTTATAGATGCCCGATTGGGTTTCATCGTCCGTTGTTGAAGTCCCAGGATGGCAAATGACACCGCTGGGTACATCGCTTTTCGATCACTCTTTGCGTTGGCGTGAAAGAGTGCGGCTATCCACGGGCATTACCCGTTGTTGTTTCCCCATTGCCACAAAGTAGATAAAAACAGATAATTTGCGCGCTGTCGTCTTACCTTTCCCATTCCTACGATCATATACCCCTAAGCTATAGCCTATCAGTATCATCATGGCTGACACCGAACCCAGAGGCCGAGCTGAAATGACTGCTTTCCGTAAGTTTTATAATCTCGACTCTCGTACAGCACACTCACGCATATGTTGGGTCCAGTGCCTGTGGATGAAGAAGAACAAAAGCAAAGCGGCAGTGGTAGTAGTGTAAGTCCCATAAGCAGACATGCTATCCGATTATCCGCCAGAGTCTAATGTCGGCCTCAGTGGTACTGTTTTTGCGACGGCTCGACGCTATGTCCGGGAGACACGGATTCG